GTCAATGTAGACGTTAGCATTGAGGTTCCTTCAGTGCTTTTAGGGGGCATGATGCTCCTTAGAAGCCAAAAAAATTACCAATCGCCTATATCGATAGAGAATAACTTTCTCTGCCTTCTTAGGGGTGCAAAACCTGCAGATATAACTTGGTACCTCTATAATATGAACAATATAAAGTTAAACGATCCGCTTGGTTTAATAATCAGCTCAAGAATCTGTCACAGTAACCTTTAGAGCCAAAGACACCCACCCACATAATAACTGCTGCAGGTCCTCTAATTATACAAAGCATAGAGAAGCATCATTTACATGTGTAAAGGAAAAGCCACAGCCATCCGTAGTTCGAATAACCCAAAGCTTCAATGGATAAGATCTATGTATATGCCCCCTTTAAGTTCTTTCAGTTTTAGTTGTCCCAAAGTACAAAAGCGACAACCAAAACTGAAGCAAGGTATATATGAAGCTGGGCCCAGATCATAAACAAAGAAATATACACCCAGTTCCCTAATCCTCTATATAAGCAGTTACTTCACGCTAACGTAATCAAAGAAACTCCACTCCCACTCTCTTCCCTCAGTTTCTCCGGCTCCCCAAAACTAACTCCCTAATTTCAACAAATCCCCATCCGCAATGTTGATGATTTCTAAATCCCATGTCTTCTTCGTCTCCCTCTTCATCCACATTTCAGCATCAAGTAAGTCTAAACAAAACATTTGTATTTGTAACTCTTGTACGATCTTTTAAGAGTACCAATGCCGATAGATGTTATGATCCCTTCACTACAAAGTAAAGTGATCAGATCATCTTGCAGGATGTTCTAATAAGAGAGTTCACTCACATCAACAACGTTCTAAAATACAAATCCTCCTAAAATTCTGCGCATGCGAGCGAGATGTCCTAACCCCTTTAGTATGACTAACCTCGGTACTCTAACAATAATTAACCTTACTCATTCCTACTATATTTTCGATGTGCAGGTGCAATACAACTGATACTAGTGAACAAGCTGGGCCCGCGTAGCAGCGTTGGCCTCGGCCTCCCTCGTGCAGTTGCGGCGCACCCAACCGCCACAAAACGGGCGGGTTCGCACCTACCGCCATCTAGCGGGAATCTGTCTTCGACGTCTCCTAGGGTGGAGCGGCCCGAATCTGCGGCCCGCCGCAAGTGCTGCTGCCTTGCGACGACCAAGGCAAGGGCACCTGCGACACTGGCGACTGAGAGCGGCCAGCTCCACTGCAACGGGATCGGAGGAACTCCACCGTCAACAATCGTCGAAATGACATTCGGCACGTCACAATCCCCGTACCATTTCTACGATGTCAGCCTAGTCGACGGGTTTAACGTCCCGGTATCAATGTCGCCGGTCGAAGGAGGAGTTGGGTGTGGAGTTGCGCAGTGTGAGGTGAATCTGAACGTTTGCTGCCCGTCGAAGTTTGAGGTGAAGAGCAAAGGGAAGGTTGTGGGGTGTCAGAGTGCGTGCATGGCGTTAAAGAGTGATAAGTATTGTTGTACAGGGGAGTTTGGGTCGCCGAGTAGTTGTAAGCCTACGTTGTTCTCGCATTTGTTTAAGGCTATTTGTCCTCAGGCTTATAGCTTTGCGTATGATGATTCCTCGAGCTTGAAGAGATGCAAGGCGAGGAGATATCTTATTACGTTTTGTCCCCCAAAAAAATGAGCAGGAGGATACGCGCTTGTAGTTATAGTAATGAGAAATTTGTATCATTTTGTGTGCTGATGTTAGTTGATGATCATTAAGAAATGTGTATTCATGTTAATGATGTAATTTTCCATAGCACTAATGTGAATATCTACTTGTTAATGAGAAACTAATCGCAAGGGTATTTCACAAAACTATCGTAAATTATTATTAAAAAAAATACTATAAATTTTTTTCACGCACCTATTGCGTTAAAATATCTAGCGATACGTATCAAATGCTTAAACAAAACACGCAAACGAGTAAAATCTAAGATGCAACTATAACAACTGATGCATAACAAATCACATAAAAGAAATAGATTGAGCTTAAACAAAACACTCATTGCCAAGATCATGCTTTTGCATTATATAGAGCAGCTAGATCTAAATTTTCAGGAAAAAGTAAAGCTCACCACTTGTAAGCGAAGCTTCACACGCTGGAAGCAATACGGCTCACTAGTAGTATCAAAATCCTCGTAAAAGTTTGCAACCAAAACACAGAAAAAGAGTTAACAGGAGAAAGTTAGGAACTACAACTGAACTTGGCAATAGTTTTTCTAGATTGATGACCACGTACATGGAAAAACATCAATACTGATAACCTCGACGACATAGAACATACAAGTTTCAGTCCATGATTGCATTTGAAAGTTCCACCTTTTGAATCATAAAGTTCCACCTTTTGAATCATAAAGTTCCACCTTTTGAATTCACTTGGTTCAAGAAAATCCAGGAATTTCTCCAGGCACAGGAGCCAGTTCATTCCTTCCAAACCTCTCTTCATCATAGAAAGTAGCACGAACCACCCTCCCACCAAAGAACCTTCCGTCGAGATCAATAAGAGCCTTTGTTGTCCATTCAGATCTCTCAAACTGTACAAAGATTCTGACAGCTTCATCTACCGGGAAGTTTGGTTCGGTGATCTCAAAGATGAGGACACGGGTGACCGAGCCATACTTGGCACACTCTGAGGCAACCTCATCTTCAAGATCATCATCAACCTCTCCAGGTCCAACCTATCAAAAAAACAAAGTGAGACTAGTTGCATCAGAACTGAATAGATATAATACCATCTCAGTTTTATTTCATAAGTCAATTGTTTAACAATTATGAACCTTCCCCACCTAGCAAATGGAATTTTAAGTTTTGGTTATTGGTTTATCAATCAGGAATCTGGAAAAAAAATGCAAAAGGTTGATGGCCCTTGAGGCCTTAGATTTCGTGAAGAATGATTGTGGCAAGTCCTACGATGGAATCCAGGCTACACCTTTTGATCAGACAGCGAAAGTAGGGAAGAGACAAAAACAAAAAGGATGACGCAATTCAGAGGAGGGAGACAAAGGAGAGGTTGATGAGGTTGATGCCATGTCAAAGTACGATAAATTTTGAGAACCCTAGCCCATAGCCAGTAGAATCCATAGTTCTCTTACATAGACACTATGAAGCACTGATTCGCCAAAAGAGCCCACGAATCCGTGTCCGACTCGAATCGGACACCGATTCGTCACGACACGTGCACGACACGTGTCGGACACGGTCAATCCGTGTCCGACACGGGTCAACGGTCAAAGTTGGCCGGACACGGTCAACAACAAGTTGGACACGGCGCGGATTCGCCAATTCACTGCAAATTGCCTTTGGTATTAAAGTCTAAGCTTATAATTTTATACTCTATGTACTTGAGATTCCGGCGGTACAGTAAACAAGGATGAAGATCATGCCGGTGAAAGACCAAGTGATTCCAAGAACGTCGACGCCACCACAGATATTGGTAGGCTGGTAGCAGACTGATGCTTGTAGAAGGACCAGAGGAGGAGCTCGTCGAAGTCCTTCGCTGCCCGCACTTGCTCAACCTCCACGCTCACCTCTTTCGACATTTTGGCTTTTTTTTTAGGTTTTAGTGAGCTGGTGTTGTGAGAGAGAAGGGAGATTTATGGATAAGGGGAGTACTTCAAGTCCGTAGATTCACCGGATTTCATCGTACATTCAAATCCAACATAATCCCGCCTATAGCCGGTCATCAGTCACCACCTAACCCACCAACCGGCTACAGCCGGTCACCACCCGTTTGAAATTCCAATCCCATTGCATTTGGCGTGAAATTCAATTAAATTTCGTCCCCGATTTCTTTACCCACTCTTTAATTGCTGCACTGCAGCCTGCAGGCATTTGAGCTTACTCTTCTTCGTCTCCCAGCAACGAATGGGAAGCCTAAATCTGTAGATTGTCCTTCTTACTGAGCCTAATTAACGTTCATATATTTGAGCAACTTTAAAAGTGTGTGTTTAATTAGCACCTTTAAAATTTAGACTAGTTTTTTCTTAATTAGGTTAACACTGAATCATATGAGACTTGGTTTATAAGACAACTAATTTAGAGGTAAGATTTTGAACTAGAAATTTTTCTATATATAATAATAATTTTTAAAAAATTCCTTGCCGTATCCCTGTATCCTATTTTTTTAGATTTTGCCGTATCCCGTATCCGTGTCCGTGTCGTATCCGTGTCCCGTATCCGTTATGGATAAGGGGAGTACTTCAAGTCCGTAGATTCACCGGATTTCATCGTACATTCAAATCCAACATAATCCCGCCTATAGCCGGTCATCAGTCACCACCTAACCCACCAACCGGCTACAGCCGGTCACCACCCGTTTGAAATTCCAATCCCATTGCATTTGGCGTGAAATTCAATTAAATTTCGTCCCCGATTTCTTTACCCACTCTTTAATTGCTGCACTGCAGCCTGCAGGCATTTGAGCTTACTCTTCTTCGTCTCCCAGCAACGAATGGGAAGCCTAAATCTGTAGATTGTCCTTCTTACTGAGCCTAATTAACGTTCATATATTTGAGCAACTTTAAAAGTGTGTGTTTAATTAGCACCTTTAAAATTTAGACTAGTTTTTTCTTAATTAGGTTAACACTGAATCATATGAGACTTGGTTTATAAGACAACTAATTTAGAGGTAAGATTTTGAACTAGAAATTTTTCTATATATAATAATAATTTTTAAAAAATTCCTTGCCGTATCCCTGTATCCTATTTTTTTAGATTTTGCCGTATCCCGTATCCGTGTCCGTGTCGTATCCGTGTCCCGTATCCGTATCCGTGCATCATAGCATAGACACATTTAATGGGAGAAAGCTTGGACGATTGCAAAGAATCTGGAAATTGGTTGTACTATGTGTGAGAAAAATGAAATTCCTCTGCGATTAAAACGTAGGAAGCATGAAACCCTTCTCTGTTCCACACGGCCAACTGTCAAGGGGCATTTTTCTCTATTGAAAAGAAAATAGTCGTTTTCTGCCACCTAAATCCAAGATTCTATTGGTCTACCCTTGCCAACCACCTCCTTCGACTACGACATCATAACTTCTTTTTAATAGTCAACTCATCAATCTTTATCACAAATCATAACACCTCATAGGATTATCCACAAGCAGCAAGCTCAAATCTTTACAATCTTCATCTTGTCTATAATACAACCTCAGCTTTGAAGTACGTTCCTTTTAAGGTTTAGCATTGCAACTCATCTCAACATTGACACACTATTCAAACATGGCCGTTATTTACTGGACGTTCTAATCACTCATAAAGCTCCAAGACAACTAACATAAGATTACAGTCTTCACATTCCAACAAGCATTTACTTTTCCAAACTGAAGATCGTGCCTCAGTTTACTTTTAGGCTTAAGTTGCACCATTGAAAATTTAAAGTAATAAAATTTCCAATAGCAATTTTCTGAAGACCCAACATCATGTTGATGGGGAAAGTCTGTAGTGATAATGATAAAAATAAACAAGAATAGTACAGATAAGAGCATGTTGCTTAAATCACAGCAAAGACATAATATTGCAGTAAAAACTAGATCATGAAAAACCCTGCAAGATAAAGAAATTTTTTTGGACACAGGTTCCTACCCAATAACCCATATTGATATTAACAGACTCTAAGCCTGCTATTTGATATAAAAACTTGACAAATGTGGGGTCAGCTATTACACGCCCCTATGTAATATGACCTTGCAGATTAGTCCTTCAAAGGAACTCATAATAGGTGCACCCAGTATTGTGGGGATTTGTACCAAACATTACCTTCAGGCGGGATTAAGTTAAAATTATGTTAATTTTCAAGGTACTTAATCTCAAAAACCACAACAAAAAGACCATATGTACTTCCTTCTAAACCTTGTCATAACTTCATCAATCATAGTAGAAAGACAAATTGTATAAACTGATGGAAGTATAGAGAAAAGAAAAAGGCATTAACAGCAAGAATAAGTTGAAAAAAGGTTTTAGTGCAGAACAGAAAATGAGAAGGACATAAATAATTGAAAACTAGAAATTAGCAATGTGCAGAAGAGTATTTCTCAATACGCCATAAAGTATAATCTGAATATAATTCACTAGATTTTTGAAGGATTTAATTTATGAAAAAAACTATCTTTAAAAAAGTGTTATATGAGAGGTATTAAATTGACATACCATGTTCCGAAGAAGCAAAACCCGCGTAGGAGGACCATTAAGGTTCACGCTCTTTGGCTTTTTCTCAGATTTTGATTCACTAGCATTTACAATTACCCCAGCTCGTCTATCTGTCTTTTTGGCCATTAAGGGAGTAGTAATTCCCTGCTCCTGTTTGCCAAGCCCCTGACCTTCTTTCCATCCCATCTTTGCCATCATTCTCTGAGCAGCAGTCATCTGCCCACCTGCACCAACACCGAGCCCTGCTGATCCAGACTTCCCGATACTAAACCCTTCTCCATTTGGTGGAGGAGAAGGTGATCTTGGTGCACCTCCGCCTGAACTTCCACTCATTGCAGCTCGCCTCTTCCAAGCTTCTTCTCCAGATATATTTATTGATGATGACTTCGCTTGATAATCCTTCTCCTCACGTTCAGCAGCCTCTCGTAGTCTCTGCTCTCGCTCCCTTTCCCTCTCCTCCTCTTCCCGGCGCCTCCTCTCAAGTTCTCTCTTCCTCTCAGCCTCTACCGCCTGCCGCTTCTTCTCTCTCCTATAGTCTTCATAATCATTTGGCCTAGCAGGATCATACTCCTCAATGACAGTCGAAGTGACCCCAACAAGAGCAGGTTGAAAAGATGGGCTTTTCGTACCGTTATCAGGCAGTGATGATGATGTGGTTGTAAAAAGAGTCTTTGTTTGGGTTAGTATGGGGCTTTTGGACTTAGATTGAGACAGTTGGCTCTTCAAAATGGTTTGAGGGGGAGCGAAGGTTGAGGATGGCTTTCGGAGTGTGGGTGGAGCCATCTTGGCACTGCTAGACCATACTGAATTGTTGCTCTTCTCCTCATCGGTTGAGGGTGCCGATGATGGTGGAGGAAGGTCCCCATACAAACCACCCAACATATTGTCACCTTTTTCTTGTCCAGTCACTTAGAAGAAAACGCAAAGAGACCAAATATCACAGACCCATGATGCTAGTCCTGAATTTGTACAGATGTAAACAAGTCATGAATTTATACAGATGAATTTTACTAAAGAAATCAACATATCCGTATACCCTTTTGGTTTATGAGCATGGAAACAAATATTCAATATTAAATTATATAAAATGCCTTTAAAGATTATCCAATCCTATAAACACAATTGATACCTCATCATGTATTATTCTAAACATATTATCATAGTCAATGATTAAACAATATAAAAATTGATGCGTGACTGACCATGTGATAGAATTTCATAAGAACTACATATTGTAAAGAAATAGTGAAGAGAACTATAAGAATAACAATCCCAACCAAGGAATTCCAAAAGATTGATAATGATAATATAATAACCATACAAAGAGTTTAAGGTTAATTGGATCGTTGGTCGCTATATTTATCTCATAATTGGACATTCATACCTATGTTTCGATGGATGGTCATGTAATTAAATATGAATCAGACCGCTAGTCACTTCTAACTCTTTCCGTGAATTTAAGTTGTAAATTTTTCATTTATTTTTAAGCTATACAGCTCACTCGATACGCCACGAGTTAATATTTTCAATAGCAAAATGCCAAATGCAATATAATCACCCAATACACGGTGCCGGATACACACAAATTTTCATTTTCACAAGCGATCAAGATATTACATATAGGAAGAAATCCACCATCAAATGATCAAGAACTTTTTTTGATATCGCATCAGCGTAACGCGTTATACATTTGGCAGAAAACATTAGAAGTGATTTGTGGTCTGATTAGTATTTAACTACACGACCAGTCAATCCAAGCAATTAAAAACATAGGTATGAACTTCCAATTATGAGATAAATGCAGTGACCAACAATCCAATTAACCCAAGAATTCGAGAGTGAAGTAATCCACATCTTGGTCTTCAAATGGATCATTAAACCCTAGAAACTTATTAATTAAACACAGTTACCCATTAAACGCCGAATCTAACCCAAACAAGAAATTGTTTAGTCAGAAAATAAGGAAAATTGAAGATTAGGGTTTTTTTCTTCGCCATCTTTACCTCTTTGTGGAGCTCTGTTGGACGACTGCCAAGCTCGAGCTGATCTATGGAGCAACGCGATCAGAATCCCTATGAATTATCCGCCAAACTTCAGTTTTCGCTGATTAAAAGAAAAAGATTTTGATTAAAAAAACAAATTTTTGAGGAACAAGGAGGGCGTGTCTTGGGAAAAGAGGAAGGATACTGGCGAGGAGCTTGGGTTCGAGAAATGCCGCCAGAGTTTGGGCTTAACAAGATAAACATGTCAGCCCATTTTACTGTGCATTTGGGACTTAAAAGCCCGTAAATTCGCAGAGCAAAATTGGGCCGCAATTCCTAACTGGCACTTAAATACCCTACTGTTTCACGACATTTATGTTTAAATACTCTTTAAGTCTTATATAATACACTTTGACATCCAAAGTTATGAAAAAATAACAATTTAATATTCTAAGTTATAAAAATTTGGCATTTAAATACCCTATTGTTTCATCACATTTACACTTAATATTCTAAATTGTAAAAAGTAGCACTTTAATACCCTAAGTTGTAAGAAAATAACGCTTAAACACATTTTAGGCCGCAATTGCTACTGTCTAACTGGCACTTAAATACCCTACTGTTTCACGACATCTATGCTTAAATACTCTAAGTCTTAAACAGTACACTTTTGATATCCAAAGTTATGAAAAAACAACAATTTAATATTCTAAGTTATAGAAATTTGGCACTTAAATACCCTATTGTTTCATCACTTTATACTTAATATTCTAAATTGTAAAAAAAATAGCACTTTAATACCTTAATTGTAAGAAAATAACACTTAAACACCTTCTGTTAGTTATCAGGACATACTCCTAGAAATATTTCCATGATAACCGCTAAAAGGCACCAATGTGCTCATTTTTTACAACTAAAGTGCTATTTTTTATAACTTAAAAAAAAAATTGTAAAGGTAGTGAAGCACTAGGGTATTTAAGTGCCATTTAACCATTGCTAATAGTAGATGGAGTTTGCATCATTATTAACATATATAATCATTAAAATGACGCTTGTAAAACCAAAAAGGGACTAGCTGAGTTGGCAAGTTGCCTACGACTAGTACTCCAAGGACTTAGATTTGACGCTCATGGGGAGCACCCACAGGAATTTAGTCTTTTAGAATACCCTGAGACCGTGTGTTAGGGGATGCTCCTTAGCCACGCCCAGGATTTAATACTCATGGTCCAAATAATCCTGGGAAGTTCCCTCGCCAACCGAAAAAAAACTTCTAAAAGAGTTTTTTTTTTTAAATGATGATGTTAACCCATAGAATCCAAATCCAAACGATGAGTGAAAAACATCAAGTTCGCTCGGGTCTATGATATTATATGCGCATGACCAATTGAATATCGGTACTTGAATTATTGGATTTTGAGATTCATGCTTAGATCTAAGGGTCTCATTTTTTTGTATGCGCATTTAAAAGAGATAGTATGTCTTAAAATGCAAGATAAATAAGCACACTACACAGCTAATTGCTGATTAGCCCACTAACAACCGACAACGGAACCAAACAGGAAAAGATAGTAAAGCCAAACATGGACTCCTTAATCTTAATCAATCACGTATTGATTGCTCACCTGTTGGTCGGAAACAAGATACTGAAGTCGAGAAGAGCACACATTTACTCTTTTGAGGAGGATTGAGAAAGTAAAAAAAAATGTGCTGTATGGATAGATTCAACACAGTAACTTTTCCTTCTCGAGAGGCGTTAGGGGCACACCCTAACCATACCCCCTCTCTTGTTACAGTGCACTGGGACCCACATGAGATTTTATTTTAAAATCTCATGTGAGTCTCAGTGTACTGTAACAAGAGAGAGTGTGTGGTTGGAGGTATGGTTGGAGGTGTGCTCTTATCATTTTCCTTTCTTCTCTTGTGAGAAATACTTGAGAGATGCTAAAAAAGTGTGACAGGTACGATTTTATCGGGTCGGATCCAGGCCTACTTAAATGCACTGCTTTAGTTATCTTCTAATGACAAATTGCAAGTAATTTTGGTAAAGAATAATTTTTCAAAACAGACTCATTCGGATTTTTATTTTTCAAAATCGACCATTTTTTCTTTTATTTATCAAAACCGATCGGATTTTGTGATTAGCAGGTTAATCACTATCCTAAATAGTCGGGGTTGCCAACCCCGACTATTTAGGAGGGTGTTAAACCCTAATTAAGACATTTAATTAGGGTTTAACACCCTCCTAAATAGTCGGGGTTGGCAACCCCGACTATTTAGGATAGTGATTAACCTGCTAATCACAAAATCCGGTCGGTTTTGATAAATAAAAGAAAAAACGGTCGATTTTGAAAAATAAAAAACTAAATGGATCGATTTTGAAAAATTGTTCTTTTGGTAAATTCTGAGCTTCGCGGGGTGATCCGGACGGTTAAGAGGTCAAACTCCTTGGATTAGTTCAACAACGGCCCAATTGCAGATAAAACTGAGAGAATATATCATATCACATATGTTTTTTTTTTTAACAACGCAATAATTTTAACTGTTGGCATCAACGCCATGAACTGAAATTTTGATTGAATATAGCTCGCCTTTCGAATTTCAAATAAGGGGCTGTTTGTTTGCTAAAAAAATGAGAAAACCCGTCGCCATAGTCATATTTCAATAAATCCCTCTTGACACGTAGGATTTTGGTTTCATCCGATTTTTAAATCATATGTTTGTTTCGTTTTGTGATTTAAAGAAATAATGGTATCATGTAGGATGACACGTCAGATTTTTGAAAAAAATGTTTTCACATCAAAAACCTCTGAAAAAACACTTGGAAATGTCACTTTAAAACGTTAGGTTTTTTAGAAAAGTGTTCTCACACTAAAAACGTCTGGAAATGTACAATTCAACAAACCGTGATTTACGTTTTGACCCCCAAAGATCTCGCCCTTACAAATATATCTCTCTGGTTTTTTTACCTTTTTTTTTCTTTGCATGGTTGCCTTGGTAGCTGTAACAAGAGCATTCTTTTTTGTTTGACGTGCGCGCAAAGCCCCCGAAAATGCGCATATAATTTTACAAGAGCAAATTGCCAAGTATATTCTCTGTTAATATTCATTCCTCAGCTGACAAAAGTGCCCTCATACGTTGATTTATATGTTTTCCATATTGATTTAAACAGATATTTTTATTGCAATTGCGAAGGCAATTTTACAAACCAAAATATTTCTTTTTTTTTAATGTCATATAAGCTCTATAAAAGAAAATGTGAATCTTGATTTAAGGCCGCCAATAGATTACAAATTTTAATATTAAGAAATCTACAAAAACCGAAAAAAGTGAAGTATCACAAGCTCTAAAACTAGCTACAACCTTCGGATAATCGTATATAGTATCAAGTAATAAGATAAAAGAAAAATATATTTGTTTTCTATATCCTGTTGACGTGTTCTCGGTATGAATGCTACATAAAAAGGAAAAAACTGTAAGAACCAAGATAATTTACAAGTGTGCTACAACTAGGGGTGCTATATCGTATTCGTATCGGAGAAAATATTCGTAACTGTATCTGTTAGGATACGAATTTGGTTACTCAAATTTATAACTGAATGATATTAATTGGTTACGTATATGGTTTTGTAGTGAAATATCCGGATCTATATCTAAAATATCCGAACACACGTTACTCATACTATGTTAATCCTTAGATTATGAATTTAAGATTAATTTTGATGATCATTATGTCTAATATTAACTCTTCAGATATAATAAACATATTAATTAACTCTTTTGTACCACATGAACTATATATATTTTAATACTATCTAGATTTCTCATATACGTTTTGTATCCACATGCATATCTGGTTATATATACATGCATATATATTCGTATCCATATCCGATTTTAGCGAATATGAATATAAATTTTTCTTACCGGGATATATCTGTATCCGAGATAAGTAAGTAGATATGGATATGATAAGTATCATATCCGAGCCGTATTCGGACCGAATGCACCCCTAACTGCAACAATATGATTATGCACATTAAAACACAATTTTAATTTCGCATGTATTTATACACCGTTAGAAATCTAATCTAATACTAGTATGGGGACAAAATATGAAAAATACACTCCGTTTTCAAATACAAGGGTATTATAGTAACTGCCTCTGTTCCTCACAACCATCCGTAAACAGGCCGGATCTCATCCCATAACGGCGTCCAAGATGTCCAATCATAATCAGCCACGTGTCAAGCGCCGTTAACACGCCTTCGAATGATCAAAAACCCACCTTTACAACAACCCCACCCCCCTTTTCTCCCTCTCATCCCCCATTTCGCTTCCCCTGGATCGGATCACCGCCCGGTCCCTCAGCTCTCTCTCTCTCTCTCTCTGTCACCGCCCTCGATCTCCCCCAAAAATCCCTAGGGTTCTCTCGAATTCCCTTATTCGACCCGCCAAACTTCGATTTTGATTGAGGGCTTGTGATCCCAGTCGAGATCTGGCCATCCCCATGTCGTCAATTTCGTCGATCGGAGGCTCGCCGTCGTCGAATTATTGGTGCTACCGCTGCAATCGCTTCGTCAGGGTTACGGTCCATGGCGCTTTCTCCTGCGTTGACTGCGGTGGCGGTTTCCTCGAGGAGGTCTCCACAGCCTAGGATTGAAACGCTGCAAGATACGCTTCCGGGAAAAGCAACCAGAGCCGGAGGAGCGAATTCGCTTCTCATCTTCTTTCCTCTGATCCCCACAGCCGCCGGCGATGACTCCTTCTCGCGTCGTCGCCACCGACGTGGCTCTGCCGGCGACCGCTCCCCGTTCAATCCTGTTATTGTTCTCCGTGGTGCCAACGATTTTGAACCCGATCGATCTAATAACAGCTTGAGCAATAGTTTTGAGCTGTTCTATGATGATGGAGCGGGCTCGGGTCTTCGCCCGCTGCCCTCAACTATGTCGGACTTTCTGATGGGATCCGGATTCGATCGGCCCAGATGGAAGTCAACGGCGCGCGAGGATTCGATCATCCGCCGGCATCGAAAACTGCGATTGAGTCCATGCCCACGATCCAAATCGCCGACTGCCACGTTGGCGAGGACTCCTACTGTGCAGTCTGCAAGGAGAAATTCGAACTAGGAAATGATGCGAGAGAAATGCCCTGTAAACATATTTACCATCAAGATTGCATCTTGCCCTGGCTCACGCTTCGGAATTCGTGCCCAGTTTGCAGACACGAGCTGCCGAGCGAGGTTCGGAGAAGGGCAGGATCGGAAATTGATAGTGAAGAGGAGTCTGTGGGGCTCACCATCTGGAGACTGCCAGGTGGCGGCTTCGCCGTCGGGAGGTTCTCGGGTGGGAGGAGGCCAGGGGAGCGAGAGCTTCCGGTTGTTTATACTGAAATGGATGGCGGGTTTAACTCCGGTGGGGCGGGGAGCGAGAGCTTCCGGTTGTTTATACTGAAATGGATGGCGGGTTTAACTCCGGTGGGGCCCCTAGAAGAATTTCATGGACTTCCAGAGGGAATCGAAGGAGGGAGCGTGGAGGATTTGGGCAAGTTCTTCGTAACTTGTTCAGTCTTAGATGTTTTGGTGGTGATCGATCGTCATCTTCGTCTTCTGTTGCTGCTTCAAGATCTTTGTCTTCGAGGAGAAACCTAAGAGCTCCTATATTTAGGAGCTCGAGGAGCTCAAGGAGTCATAGCAACAATTGGGCATTGGAGGATGGAACTGGGAATACAATTTCAAGATGGTGAACTGGAAAACTGCGGAAAGTTTGCATTTTAAATGTAAATAGAGAAATGCGTGAAAATCTCGGGAGCTTTTTTTGTCTGGGTTCTGCTTTTGGGGGATCCTTGCGATTTCTTCAGAATGAGGAGGCACATTTGAACTCATGGAAGGTACATGAACGCATGTACTCTGCTTATTGACAATGTTATGTTTCAGAGGTTGATTATTTTGAAATTTGGTCTGTATGAAGATGAATTGTTATTCTTCCCCGTAGTCTTTGTTTAGTAATATATAAATGCATTTATTACTCATTTGTTTAAGTATCGAGCTATTTGGGTGCTCAAGCATTTTTACCATCTAAATTGAGTTAGTATTCGTGTTGGTTAATATGTGAGGTTCATATTATAAACTGTCTACTTCTTGTTTGAATTGGATTGTCAGTTTCGTTCAAGCTGAGGATTATGCACAACTCTAATGAATTAGAAGGGGATTACTTAATTTCAGCTAATGTTTAGAGGTTCATCTTTGGTTAGTTTCCTAGTTTCTTTTAACGGTGGTTTATGCTAATTGGCTGTTTTGCATAATACTTCCCCAAGATGCTTTACTAAGGTCTACCTTATCTCACAGTATTTCTTAGTGTTCTATTCACCGAGGATGAGGTTATGGATATCCAGCTCTTAATTTTGAGGCTATGAACATCTAAGGAGGAACTTAAATAGTTTGCAGTATTTACAGGAGCTTGTTGTGTCAAAGGTTGTTGACGAGGAAGAGAAGTCTTACAGAGAACTTATAAATATTGATCATCGTGTTGTGAATGCTTGCTTAGATGATAGAAGCATGGATAGTAACTAGCAAGTTAAAAGCCAACACCTACTATGTTATGGTTTATAATTTTGATCATCCAACACGCTGAAGTTGTATTGACCTTAGGGCTGATACTATATTATGAAAAGATGTACTATTGTCAAGGTGAAAGGATTATTTGACTAGAGCGGGTTTCTATGTTACCCGGGTACTTATATAATGAAGCTGTACCCGTACCGGACATGTACCCGACACTTTCCTGTACCCAAACTTCATGGACACTTCTTGAACATATTCATGCATTTATTACAACATGTACTCAATTATACGATATATGTGTTAATTTAAAACACTTGTCAAAGACTTCCTGGACGTAGAGCTTACACTTCACATCCGTCTTTTGAAACTAATGAGATACGGGTCGGATTCGTTTCAGTCCATACCCAAGTTTAAAACTATATAGTTAATGGGTCTTTTAGATGTCTAGTAAAAAAAATGAGTAGTTTACAATTCATGATAATCAATATGATAAAAGAAACTCAAAAATGTGATCGGAATTTTAATTCTAATGACACATGAAGAGGAAAAAATTTATCTTATGTACAGTATTAATTCAATATATATATGTAGTTGTGTCCCCGTACCCTACATTTTTTAGTTTTGTCGTGTTCCGTACCCGCACTCGCACCCGTACCATTACCCTTGCCCGTTTCCATGAAACTTAGGCCGGTTTAGTTGCATCATCTGGTTTCAGTCATCTATTCATTTTAGTCTAGAACCATACGAGGCTCAGGATTATTTGAGAGTCTTTAAATTTCTACACATCCTAGTCGCACCTATATGGATCCTTGCTCCATGTTATATGCATGAATATAAGTCTTTATTTTTTTTCCTTCTAGTTATTTAGTTTTGGTTTTCTATATATGATGTCAGTGATCAAAACATAAGTTTACATAGACCTTGACCGCTAGATACCAGCATACCATACACATTCAGATGCGTAGTTGTGCATCTGAATGGTTCATCTTTCTTCAATTTCTTTGTCCTGTTATTGGCAGTTGCAGGCATATTTCTGTTACATGACTCTTCCTTTGCATAGGGAACCGTATTATAGTTGTTGCTAATGTGATTTTACTTCTACAAGTTCTTAATACTGAGCCTGCTGGTAGGTATGTGTGATTATTGACTTAATTGAGTGTTTAGCATCTCTTGAATTTGGACATTCTTGATAATTTCTGGTAGTTGAGAGTTTTTTGTCGCAGTCATACCGTCTTTTGGTTCGTATGCATAGATGATGGTTGTTGGGTCTGAGTGTTAATCTTTCAAAGGAAGTTGCAACAGTCTCCTCTTATTCTTTGTTGATGATTAAGCATTCTTGGTTTGCTTTTCTATAAACAAAATTTGTTTCTCTACTTAAATTCCACCTTAATATAGAAGTTTGTCATATGGGGGGAAAAAAGATGCGACGAATATAATGGCGTGTGGACTAGAGATGAATATTCTCGTAATAATTGTTCCAGGCATCTTTACCTGAGAAATTTATGAACTCCAGCTAAAGGAACTAGGGAAGGGTAACTCCGGAGCAGTCCAGGACCTGATACGCTCTTTAGAGCAATGGATTCCACAGTCAATAAGTATTTACTTGATTTTAATCTTATATTGATATCTGCAAGTAGCTACTATCATCTTGGTATCTGATTATAAAATCTTATTGACTTTGTTCATACATGCAAAATTAAGGATAAAGGTCACTTTTTCCTTCTTAATGTACGATTAAATTTTGAGGTTTTGGTCTGTATCGATAAAAAAACAAATTGCTGTTTTTGAGTATGCTCAAGACCGAAACTGATTTTTCTATTGCGGCTGATTTCATTACGAAACTTGCTCTGCTTCTCACAAGCAGCCGTTATCATCTCAGAATATGATTCTCTCTACGAAACTTAACTTGACGTGAATGGACAAGTAATCCGGAATTGTGACCGAACAAACTCTTTATTAAATCTCTTCCATACAAATCAACATCATGATTCTTCATTTTTTTTTTAAATGAAGCAAAGGTTTTTCTGTTGTGTCGTTTTCGTGCCATCAAGATATCGTCTGTAGAAATGAGCCCCATTATATGAATAGACATGGCAATATCATTATATCGATGTTATTGTTGTTCTGTTAAGACAGTTACCCCCCTCTCGTGCACGCAGAGCTGCAGCGCTTGTGGATCCTGGCCATGAGCTTTCAAAGCAGAGGGAGGGTACTTACTTGGCTCATAAACTCTCTCTCGTTCATGTGTGCTCCATTCATTTCTCGGTGAGAATGCTCAGTGGTCCCTTTTGGTTTGAAACAGTGAGCAAGACAAATGCCTGCAGGGGGCTGATGACTGTCTTCAACCGCATTTCTTTGTGTAGGGATGGAGGGGATTCATCTTCTCCGGATGCAAACTGATGCAGTATAGATTATCTATCATTATATATGACCGCCTTGATTCATTCCAAATTAGAGTAACACTGCACGGTGCCTTCAGATTATGTGTATTCCTGATGTATGTGGTTCTGTCAAGTGTATTTAGGTGTGTTTGAGAAGTAAGTTTTGCTTTATTTATCTTCTCAATAGTCCTTTGAATTTACAAAACGCGCTTTTTTTAAATTTAAATTTATGTGCGTGCTCCTCAGGAGAGTCGAACCTGAGACATTAGAGTACTACTCATAGGTGACATATCAACTCGGCTAGACTCTCTTTAGTGAGGCCATAGAGTACTACTCATAGGCAACGTATCAACTTGGCTAGACTCTCTTTGGTGTATAAGGCCCTATATCTTAATTAACTATATTTTTTTGGTACAAATCTGGTACTTAATTCAGAACTGAATTTTTTCCTTTGCTAATCAAATCATTGGTTTAATCAAATGATGTAATGTGGTACACATATTTTAACAATCTTTACCCCTTATTTCAACAGTCTCAATATCAGCTCACATCCAGTGGGAACAATATTTCTTTCATTTTAATGAGATAAACCAAGAAATTGCTAGCTTCTTCACTTTTTTTTATTGAATAAGCAAAAAATTACAGTTATTTTTGGTAACTCATACATAAGTTCGCTATAGACAAAAAGAGATATATTGACCTATGAGAATTTTCAACAACATTGATTAGTTCTTGTAGATGGTAGATTTAAAGAGGAAGTTGTTTCCTCAGAGAGGTCAAATCTAAATTTTGTAATGGAAATGGAAACTACTACTTAGTTATATTAACGGACAGAAGTCTTGTATAATAGTGTCTCTATAATATAATTAGAATCATCTTATTGAAATTCTATCAGCAAATACATCGAGCCAAAAAAAATCTTGTTAAATTTTCTGAATTGTGATCTTCACTTTAAAATGAAATCCAAACTGAATAAAAACCGCATGTTTGGATTTCATCACAATTCCGCGCCTCCATCTTTTTTAAAAAAAATCTTTACTTTTTCTTCCTTCTCTATCTCAAAGATTCCACTTTTTTCTTCCACGTGATTCCGATGATGATCTCCGCGGATCATCTTCAATTCTATCCGTTGTCATAAATTATGTGATCGCAGAACGATTTTATGAGCTATAACCCATGAAATTTTAAGTCATTTTTAGTCACTTTCAATAATTAGCATATAATTTTGTAGAGTCCAGACTTCACAATTTCATGATCTGTAATTTATTATTTTTGGCCATTTTTAGTCGTTTCGACCCATTGACAAGCAACTTTGCAGAGGCCAAAACTCAAAATTTCTAATGTGTTATGTTATTATATTCTACAAGTGCACAACTTTCGTTATAGCCTTTGCAGGTTGTCCTCCATGAAATTTATTAAGAAAATTCTATATTAAGATCCTAGGGTTTGAAAAAGGTATAAAGTTTGAATGATGTTGGTTTTTTTAATTAATAAACTTAAAAATAAGTTACTTAGGCTAACTCCACTAGGTTTCTAAACTAGATTTTTTTTATTTAATCTCTTTATTTAATAGAACCCTAAAAACATAAAGCTATATTTCATTAGAAAGTATAACCTATCAATTAGTCCTAATCTTTTATAACTAGAGCCCTAAAAGCATAAGTTATGTCTCGTTAGAAATATAACCTATCAATTAGTTAATCTTAGTGTTTCTAATTAATTATCTAGACTTTTTATTACTAGGGTTTAATCTCCTAATTATAGGTTATGCCTAATTAAATTCTATAACCTTTCAAATTGTAATTAACTCTAGCTTTTATTAATCTAAACTAGTCAACTTCTTTGTTTAACCTGCCACATCTAACTCAAAAGGGATCGATAAGCCTTTGCACATGAAAAGAGGATTAGCATAAAGAGATCTTTTTATTAATCTAGATTAGTTACCTAGCCTTGTTATCCTAAGTTTCCTAATGGTAATTAGCTACTCATGATTAATTAAAGAGAAAAGAAGATAAAAGAAGAATCGAAGAAAAGAGAAGAAAGAGCAAGAAGAATAAGAATAAGAACAAGAAAACAAAAACATTAAATTAAACAAATTACTAAATTGAAGAAACTAAAGAGAAGAACTTGAACTACAAAATAACAAGAAAAAAGAAGGACTTTATTCAAGAATTGAAGGTGGAATTGAATGTGTAAATTACAATGGCCATGTGCCTTATACTCTACTCCCTGCGATAAAACTAGAAAGAACTTCCATAACTTATTTGCAAATGATATGGAATGATATGAAATTCATTTTGCAGAAAAAAAAACCGAGGTTTAAAATGTTATGTTCCATATGAAATCGTTGCCGGTTGAAAACTTGGAAATGACTATGTGTTCTCTTCTCCCCTCTTTATAGCCTTACTTCTCTTTGCAAGAATGGAAGTAAAAGGATTCTTGTGGATCTTTTTGTTATAAAATTCTTGTTCTTTTTTTTTGCCCGATAGGATGAAAGAACAAGGAGTTTAAGGATTACACGTGCTAATAAAATAGAGTAAAGATGCTATTAGAACTCTTGAGAATAATGAAGATCTTCAACAGAATTTGGCCACTATGTTGAATTGTAAAAGTGGAAAATTTCCTATTACTTATCTGGGTGTACCTTTAAGGCCTAGAAAGTTAAAAAAAGATGATTGGTCTCCTTTAATTGAGAAAATTGAAAGGAGATTAGCATTATGGAAGGGAAAGACATTATCTAGAGGAGGGAGATTAGTTTTAGTTAACTCAGTCCTTTCCTCTATGCCACTCTTTTGGCTTTCCTTCTTCTTATTTCCTTCTTGGATTATTGATAAAATTGATAAAATGAGAAGAAGATTCTTATGGATTGGATCTTTGGATCACAAAGGGTATTCCAATTTAGTTAAATGGGAAGAGGTTTGTAAACCTAAATACTGTGGTGGTTTGGGGATTATCAATTTGAGAATTATGAACAAAGCCTTGTTAGGAAAATGGATCTGGAAATGGTTTGATGGAAAACTCAGTCTGTGGAAACAAATTAGCTTTTACAAATATTTTGAAAACAATTGGTCTGAATATTTTTACTCTAGAAGAGTTTACCTTTCTCATTTTTGGAGAAATTTTTTTACTAATGTGGATAGCTTTATTTGCAGTTCCCAAGTGGAGGTTGGAGAAGGAAATCAAACTTTATTTTGGCTTGATAAATGGTTAGATTCACATACTCTTGCAGCCATATATCCATCCTTATTTGTTAATACATCCTTCCCTTTTGCTACTGTGAGTAGTATGAGAAAGAAAGTTAATGATACCTGGAGATGGGATTTACAATTTAAAAGACAATTAACAGGGACTTTAGTGTCACAGTATTTCTCTCTAATGAATTTACTTAATTCCATATGTTTAGAGCAAAAAGAGGATAAAAGGAAGTGGTTGTGGGATCTGAAAGTGGATTTCACAGTGAAATCTTATTATTTGTTTTTAATTGATGGAGGTTTGAGATGTGATTATGCAGATATATGGAAGTTGCCTATTCCTCTGAAAGTAAAATTTCTTGTATGGCTGGCTTTCAGGCATGGTTTGAATACAAAAGATGTGTTGGAAAAAAAAGGAATGCAGTTAGAAAAAATTTGTTGCTTATGTTCAAAGCTGGAAGAAAGTCATACGCACTTATTCATTAAGTGTGAGTTTGTTTACTCTATATGGAGATCAATTCTGTTCAAGCTGAAAATTGAAGATGGTTGTAATTGGAATTCTCTGAAAGAGATGTGGCATGATTTGAAAACAGGAGAGATTGATAATGGCAAAATGAAAAGAGATGTCTTCATTTGTTCTCTTGTTTGGTGTGTATGGCAGGAAAGAAATGATAGACTTTTTTCTAAAAAAAGGAAAAGATCTCTTGAGCTTTTGAACAAAATTATGACCTTCTCATCATTTTGGTTAGGTTCTAAAAAAATCTCTGCTCGAGCTATCAGACTACAAGAAAGGAGGAGGAAAAGGAGTGCTGATAGAGCTATTGGTGCAGATAGAAGACAGAACAGAGCCATGGGTGATGAGGTGATCCAGCTAGAATGATGCACATTCAATTCAGGTGTTGTTTTGAGCTTATCTGGTGGTGGTGTTTTAAAACTTTGGTTAGTTGTGAATCTTCTAGCTTTTGGTTTTTGATAATGGTCTTCTTTTTGTAGGAGAGACCTATAACTATAGATAGACTTGTGCTGGGGTTTACTTTTGCTGTGTAACCTTGATCATGAACGTTAGTACACACTCTTGGTTGGGGGTGTGTATGCTTCTTTTGTAACAACCTTTTTTTGTTAATTTAGCTGGCTGGATTATCTTTGTGATAATCCATCCTTTTCTCTCAAAAAAAAAGATGCTATTAGAAAAATTCTTAGAATGAATTAACATATATCATTCACGGATGATTAGATTTTAGAGGGTTACTTTGAATATTGTAGTTATTATATATCTATGGTATAAATCATCACCTCACTCCTATAACGCTGGCTCTGGTAAAATTCCTATTAAATAAATTTGTTGTGCGCCGCGGAACCAAACCAAACACCAAGAGAGAAGACAACTCAAATCAAACAATAACGGCACAAACTCAAACACAAAAATTTAACGTGGTTCGGCAAATTGCTTACGTCCACGGGACAAGAAGGGATGAGTTTCCACTATAGAGAAAAAGAGTACAAAGTAGAGATTACAAGATCACTAAACCAACCTCTCAAATAAATCTCTCAAATCTCACAATCTAAACCCTCAAACAATTGCTCAGAAAGATCTCTCTTTTCTGTGCTCAAAATCACCTTCAAGCTACCCCAAAATCCAATTCTGGCAATTGGAACGATAGAAAACGCTAAACAAAACGTATTTCTATTTATATCTAGTAGAAAACCTAATCAGAACAGGAAACCAAACTCAGGCCCAAAACCGCATCGCGGTCGACCGTGGCCAATCGACAGAGAACAAAAAAATCACTATAGGGTCTCGCGGTCGACCGCCGCGCCACTCGCGGTCGATCGCAAAAAATCCAGAGACTTTTCCTGTGTTCGTGTACGTTCACGGTCGACCGCTGCACCACTCGCGATCGACCGGCCGGAACTCAAAACTGTCCTCCGCTATTTCCTGAACATCGGTGTTTCCTCTTCAAAAATAATCTACGGTGTATAATGCCTATACCCTCTTTGTACAAAAGGTAAAATTGCAAATAAAATGATTAATGTAAGTGAAGCTGTTTCAAGGAAGACTATTTATTAAAATAAAAAAAACCAGCTGTCCTCTCTCTCTCTCTCTCTCTGATAAAACTAGTAGGCAAGCTGTACTTCTGAACACAGCATCATTCTCGTTCTGGTCAAAATGCCATCCGACACGTGTCCACACCAACGGAACTAACGACCGCAAATGCTGGGCTGTAGCCCATTTCGCCTCATAAAAAACCAAGCTGTCCAAAATTAATTTCACTTCCTTCTATTCCCCCCTTTCCTTTTTGTTTTTGAATTTTATTTAAAAAGAAAAGAAAATACCCTTAATTTGGCTATAGCTTCTATTGCGAATATTATTTTTTGAGAATGAAGAAGTTGAAGAGTGAAGAGGAGCTGAGCCGTGACCGGAATTTGGAGTTTGAGACGGACGATGAAGAGAATCAGGCCCAGAGTCGGTATTCATCGCCGACGACGTCGTCTTCAGCCCAATCTTCTGGGTCTGATAACAACGATGGAGAGGTGGGCTTTTATAATCGAGGTGGGCCGAGCTCTTACCAGTCAAGCTGGCCCCAGAGTTACAGGTACTAAAAAATTATTCGATCTTAAAGTTTTTTTTTTTTAATTTTTTATAATAGCTAGGCATTAAATTTTTCTTATTCGTAGTCATGATTTCACTAGTTGATGCTGCAATGGTAGAGTTTCTTAATGATCAAGAGAATCGTTTTCTTTTTTCTAGAGATTTTTTTTTTAATTCGGTTAAAACTTTGGAAAAGAAATATTTACCTCGCATTTGCATATTTAATTTTGTTTTTAACGAATAAAAACTTGGATCTAGTTGTGCTTGTTCTCATAGGATGCATGAAAACTTTATCAGTCTTTCTCATAAATAAATAAAAAAATTTAAAAATTTTGATCAATTTGATGGACTAAAATTAAGATATATGATCCTAATGGTGTTAATAACGGGGTAAAAATTCAAAACTAGATCTATAACAGTTAAGGAGAAAAGGATGAGTAGTTTTATATCATAATTAGAAAAATTTGCTAAACATTAAGATACAATTAAGGGTAAAAATTAAGATTAGAAAAATTAAGATGAAATTAAGGGTAAAAATTAAGATAAAATGTTAAAAATTAATGTGTCAAGAATGGGATTCGAACCCATGCCCTTTCGGACCAGTACCTGAAACTGGCGCCTTAGACCAACTCGGCCATCTTGACTTGGTTAACGTCCGCATGCTCTATGTTATTAATACAAAAACCTTTTATTTCTGCAGGCAGTCCATTGACATGATGAGCAGCGTTGTATCACCCAGTGTGACACTATTAACAGGAACAAGCATCCTTGAAGTTGGCAGCTCATTTCTACGCCCGTTCCCTTCAATCTCGATCTCCGAGCATCGCTCTAGCTCCGTCTCGAAACCCCTCATTATCCCTTACTTCAACTCTTCAATCAAAGACTCCAACCTAGCCTCAGCGTCGGCAGCAGCACCCCCTTCGCCTCACTCTCAAACCCCCTCCTTCTCTCGTTTTCCCGCCCCTTCGTTTGCTAAGTCTCTCCCTCCTCCTTCTCAATGCACCACCACTCAATCCATCATCAACGGTATGTCACTCTCATTACTTTTTGTTTGTTTGTTTGTAGGGTGTAAATAAATATGATATCCGCAGTTATATCTGTATCTGTATCTGATAAGATATAGATAAAAAGTTCTGATTTGAGGAAGTTTCTTTTATTTAGGTACCTTTCGTACGAATCATATGGCCCCTATGTTTCCAAGTATTACTCGTTTGCATTATAAATCGCGAATAACGTTATGAGTTTTCTTGACAAAAACACATTTATTTTCATATCCGTAGTTAGTAAGTGGATGCAAATATGATAAAAACACATTTATTTTCATATCCGTAGTTAGTAAGTGGATGCAAATATGATAAACGTCACATCTGACCATTTGCTTATATACACTAGTGTACTATGAATGGTTGACTTCATCAATCACAAATGGAAGATAAATTAAAGGCTCTTGTTCAATAGTTCATGATATGAGAGCAGGTCTTCTATTCTGTTATTGGCGAATTTAGTAAAAACTTTTCATTAATGCTACAAACGTTTGTGTAATTCACCTTTATGTTTCGACTGGTTAACTCGTTGATAGGAATCAATGTGCTCTGTGGTGTGGGACTACTTACTACACCTTATGCTCTGAAGGAAGGAGGATGGCTAAGCATTTTGTTGCTGTTTGTGCTTGGATCAATTGCATTCTACACTGGAATTCTATTGAAGAAGTGCTTAGATAGCTCCCCGGAGCTTCAGACTTATCCTGATATCGGTTTTGCTGCTTTTGGGATGACTGGTCGCATTTTTGTATCCGTAAGCTCTTCATCATTTTCTAAATGTTATCTGTTTTTTTTTTACCATAATGGATTTTACTTGATTTTATGTCAATTATAGTGCTTGATGACTTTGAAATTTTTCTAATTGGATACTGTATAATTGTTATTGCAGATAGTTTTATACCTGGAGCTATATGTAAGTGCAGAAATCCTCAAAAATACTTCAAATTTTAGATACCATGCCTTTGATTGAAAGTATTCAGCAATGTGCATCGATCTCTTGTTGCAGGCATCTTGTGTTGAGTACATAACTCTGGTGGGAGATAGCCTAGCATCATTGTTTCCTAATGCGCGTCTAAACCTCTTGGGCCTTATTTTGGAACCCCATCGATTATTTGCACTAACAACAGCACTTGCAGTTCTTCCCACTGTTTGGCTTAGAGACCTAAGCTTGCTCTCATACCTCTCAGGTAATTCTCATTCTATTAACCATTCGTACTTTCCTCGGGTAAATTTCACAGTACTGCCATGAACCTCGGGAGTTTTAACAGGAAACTACTGTGAACTATTTATTAGAGAAACTATCATGAATTTTTAGAAGTGCGGAAAAAATACCATGAACTATTATAGATTGTTGCTCTCTTGGATAAAAGGTCTGAAGCATCTTTACTATAACAATCAGCCCACAAAAGTGTTTCACTGTGGAAAGACCCCCGTAGTACCATTGTTTTAAATTTACTACCCCTCAAGTTTTATTTTGCAGGACCTATTAATCCTCAAAGAAAGTGAGATTTGTTTTTCACAAATACGCCATCTGGAGCGTAAAAAATGTCAAAAAAAAATTTACCCAGCCGTCTATCAGCAAAAGTAAAACTAAATGAGTGTTAAGTCCAAAACAGCGACACTACAGGGGTCTATCAGCAATTAACTCTCTACCAAATAAATATAGTACATGAGTATGCATCAGCTTTCCCTAACTACTGTCAGGTATGGAAGCTTGGTGAAACTAATCAAAAAAGTTTATGGTAGCTTTATGCTGAACACCCCCAAAGCTCATGGTAGATTTGTGAAATTTACGCAACTTTCTTCATCTATAACGGATACTTTTAAATGTGGGGTTTGACGTAGGAAGTAATCATGTTTGAAGGCCTGTTGTTTCAGCTGGGGGTGTAATTGCAACAGTACTAGTGATCATCTGCTTGTTTTGGGTTGGAATTGTTGATGGAATCGGGTTTCATCGAACTGGAACTGCTTTGAACCTTGTAAACCTCCCGGTTTCACTTGGACTCTATGGGGTTTGCTACTCTGGACATTCTGTTTTCCCCAACATTTATTCTTCAATGAAGAAACAAGAAGATTTTCCGACAGTTTTATTAGCCTGGTAAACTGATATGTACATAATAAAAAGTCACTCACTAATTCATTTCTTCGCAATGTGAATCAGTTTTTCTTTATTTTCTATTTTTCATGCTGCAGCTTTGGGATATGCACAATTCTATACGCAGCAGTAGCCTCAGCAGGTTTTCTAATGTTTGGTGATTCTACCATGTCTCAGTTTACACTTAATATGCCTGCTCAACTTTTGACTTCTAAGGTTGCAATTTGGACCACGGTAAGAGAAATCCTTAAAATGCCGTTGCATAATACGTTCATTTATTTATTTTCTCTAAATAAAAAATACATATTTATTTTTCTTCTATTAGGTTGTGAATCCACTCTCAAAGTATGCTTTGACAATGACTCCGGTTGCTTTGAGCATTGAGGAACTCTTACCTTCCAATAGACAATCTCATTCAAATGTGGTGTTACTCAGAACAATGCTTGTTCTTACATCTCTTATCGTGTCCCTCTCAATTCCATTTTTCGGTGAGTATTACTTTTACTTTTTCCCCGAATTGAGACACGCAGATCTATGTTTTTGGGAAATTGCTTGCATGATATGATGAGGAAATGTTCGTTCTCTAAGTTTATCAATATTTGGCTCAATTTGTTTTCAGGTCTTGTCATGGCATTGCTTGGTTCATTTTTCGCAATGCTTTTGGTAAGTACTTTTATCATAAGAAAACAGCGCTTTGTGTCGCTACATTTTCAATTGAACATCTATTTTAACATTTTTTTTTCATGGGAATTTTGTGACAGACTCTCATTATGCCATGTGCATGCTATCTCAGCATTAAACGCAAGTCAGTAAGCAATCTGCATGTAAGTGAATATATCACTATACACCAATATATAACATTTAGGATAGTGATTTACTTAATACCAGTTATAGAATGTTAGCTTATGTTGTTTTGTGTTGCTTTTTTCAGGTTTCTGCATGCATTTTCGTTATGATTCTTGGAGTAGTTTGCTCGTGTGTTGGCTCCTACTCCTCGATTAAGAATATTGTTGACGAGCTTTGATATGAACAGGAAAGAGAGAGCTAGTTTTGTCCTTCAAACAAAATATACCGAAAGTTTTTTCAGTAGTTAACCCCTCATGTACAGTTTTTTTAATGCGTCTCATTGTTGTTTCATTATTTGTTCAGTATAGTTACTAGCTCATTTCACTCTTTTTCATTCATTTCCCTGTTTGTTACTGAACAAGCTAATGCGGGACTTCTTGTGAAATGTAATAATTGGTTAGCTTTTTTGTTTCTGGCCATTCAATTATAGCTTAATTTGCATATCACATGGTTTAATGGATAAAAATTGTGTTTTAAGTTATTCACAAAATAGATTAACTGTCTGAATTTTTTTTTACATTACAATACCGTAACCATACTTCAAAATGAAAAGTTCATAAATTTAACACGTTCGTTGTTTATGTGGAACAATGAGTGATGTTGATCATCAATTTGGATTACTGACTTGGCAAGGTATTAATCAGATTAGAGACAACTTACACGTGGAAACTTCTCCATCTTTTCCAAACACGACCCTTGAAGAGTAGGAGTAGGTGGTGATGTTACTCAACTCGTACAACTTTTGCTAGGCAAATTTCACAACACTACCATGATCTATTTAGGGGCCCTGTGCAGAAAAATATCATAACCATCACAAACTTTTATATCAGCAGAAAATACCACATCACAACGAACAGTTTAACAAGGCAATTATTTTATATGTTATAATAGATGCTATGTGATGAAACAAGGTAAAGGTTCTAAGTTCTGGGTAAGCTCGCCATCAAAACATCTCAGTACGGAGTAACTTCCACATTCCAACCTTGTCAAAGTATATACATGCATATTCCGTACCTACTTCCCCTTTCCTTTACCTTTCCCCTGGTTTTTCTTTGCATCCAACTTGGCCTGCACTCGAGCAGCAGCAGCAGCTTTTGCTGCTTCCCTCTTCTTCTTCTCCTCCTCTTTGGTTGCTGCAGCCATTTCTCTCTGCTTCTTCAGTTCCCTGTTCCGATGTTTCAGCAGTCAACTTACCAGCATTCAAACAAGCAAGTCATTATCACAGGTTTAATTACGGGTTATTCGCACTTACTGCAGCCTAGCCTTTTCATCTGACACGCTACCTAGGCTCGCACCCTTCCGAGGTCTACAAGACACCAGCTCCACCTCAAAAATAAGAGTGGCACTGCATCACCAGTAACCGAAAGCACTGGTTAGAGATCATTGTAATTAGTTGTAATAAATCTAATAAATATGCCTACTTCTCTTCAAACGGTATCTGGTAAAGGATAGAAAGGCTATTACGTATATCAGATTCTTAAGAGTAAAAGAAAAGAGTCAAAAATGGAGAAAAACAGGTCAGAGATTTTACTCTGGTGGTATATCTGGTGGAGAACCTGCACTTCCATAGGCATATTCTGGCTTGCAAGTAATTTTTGCGACCTCTCCAACCTACAAGAATTCATAGAGACGAGTTATTGAAACATAATTAACAGGGAAACATCAGTATCATCATATAATTACCTTCATAGTCCTTAAGGCAATATCCCAAGCCTTGATCACAGAGCCTGAACCAACCTCAAATGAGAAGATACTATTGTCTTCATGTGTGGTGTCAAAAACCTCACCAGTTTCAGCTAAGGTGCCTTCATAATGAACTGGCAGAAAATAGGATAGGTAGGTTGATAAAGAAATACTAGTCGCACGTAAAAAAAGAAAAAAGAACGAAATGTTTTCATGTCTCGACTATGCCAGGAGGAATGCATCTCCGTGTAGCACAATGTTCTTGTAGATTTTTTTCTGCTCAATGTAATCATAGAGTATTTCTCTTGGATTATATTGGTTAGCTCTTTTCTCATCAGAAATTATACCTTAGACGGGAACTTCAGGAATTTTGCACCAACTAATTTGGGAATACCGGGTTGATAAAACTAGTAAAAGTTCATGAATCCCAGACTGTCTTATGCAGAAAGATAAAACTTTTTTGTTATATTGATAAGTGAGACACACTGGCATCACTTGAGTGCTTTTCATCATTATATACCAAAAAGAAAACCTACGTAAGGCCAGATAATGTAACAACACTTAATCCTTTTTCCTTGAAAGAACTAATAATGAAGGACAATTTTTTGCCGTTTATTGGCCATGGACACCATTTTATCATCCTATCCATGTTTCCAAAGAATAGATGTCTCACATGTTTTTATCTAATCCTGAAAGCTGGAAAAGCATAAAGCCTAGAGCTTGTTTCTCACAGCAAAGACTGTATATAGCAAAGCATAGGTGCAATCTACATGATTTTTTATTCCTAATTTAAATTATAGATTATGCCTAATAATTTAATTCCAGTAGGAATATACCTAGAAAAAAAGATATTGGTACTTCTCTTAAAAAAAAAAATACAAGCTACAATTTCCACAGTCGAAGTCAGAGGAGCTTCTATCAAGGACTGAAGATGGTTGGAAAACTTAGAGGCAAAGACGCAATAAAAATCGGAGTCAGAGATGAAGGTCGAAGTAGAAGAGGGGAAGAAGAAATAGAGGAAAAGAGGGTAGCGTATGGAAAAGGGAGCAAAGAGGTCAAGACTGTTGGAGGGCTTTAACATCGATAGATTTTGTTGTCAGACTCTTGCAGAAGGAAAAATCTAACTGGACATTGGTAACTTTAATGGGCTAGTCGCACTGTTAGTAAATATGCAGGCAATGGTACAAAAAATGTGTAGCAGGATGCACCTTTGGAAAAATACCCCTTTTCATATTTAAACTATTTAGGTAGCTACAAAAGAAAAGGTGTTTTGCTACATAGCACATAAACTATGTTTCTAATCTTCATTTCCCATCATCGACCCTTCTTAATGGATCAACGATGTGATGCCAGATGGTAGCCACATCAAATTGGCAACTTCAGGTTAATGTGCACCATCTATGGTGTTAAATAAGAATGATTGCCTGTTGATAGCATATTACGAATTAATTATACAAGTTTACTGGTGCAAATGGCCTGTATCCCATGACCCACATTCGAATAGAAACTCTTTTAAGAATTTTATATGGATATGCCTATAGACAAGAAAACAATAAATAATCACGAAGAATATGAGCTAAATATAGCATAACATTTTCAAATAAAGGTATTATAAATTGATCAGATGTATATTCTTTGAGAAAGCAAAATGTTACATGCTTGTAAATTTGAAAAATATGGTTATAGAGGGAAGCAACAATAGGAGCACATACCATAGTACTACTGGAAACTGTTACTAGTTTCCATGTTTAACCGACAGAGCAATTTTTCTTATTAACCTTCAGAATATGACAATTGCTAGAACCTACTTAAAAAGATGAAAATGAAATAATTTCAAGTCAATAGCATATGAATATTTATCGTGTCAATATGAAAGTTTGACCCAGTACAGGCTATGGGTTACTTAACACCAAATATAGAATAACTTAATATTGAAAAGAAAATGAAATTCCAAAGCAAATATCCAGCTGATAAAATGGGGCCTAGGCGCAAGCTGCGCAACTTAGAAACTATGCTGCATACGTGCTACAACTGTGCACCTACTATTTGACTAATAAGTATAATACACCACTGCATGTTGTGCAGAGTCTCTTAAAATTCAAAGTGCCACTCCCAAGCCTGTACAGAGGGAAAGACTTCAGTATTGACGAACTCAATTGGGTTGAACAGAATGCATACAAAATATTTTTCGGGGGATGGGGCTAAATAAACCTTCACAGGAAAATTGAGGACTTGGAACTTTAAGGCAGTACTTTTCTCCCACCGTAATATTTATTGCACTAAACAAGAAATGAACATCAATACTTGGAGAAAGCATCAAACTTTTAAGTATCTCGCTGTTAAGATATTTAGATATACACCAATGTAACTCTTTGTTGAAAGCAGGAGAATGTGAGAAGTCATCAGTACCATCAACTAATGGAAGGTCATCTGTTGGTGTAATAGCATCAGCCTTTGCATGGGTAATAATTTTTTTGAGCACGCCTCCATCCCCAGTTAAATCTATCGCATCACCCATTGCTTTTTAGCTTCAAACGAAGCTGTTTAGGAAAACCACCAAGAAAACAATAAATTAACGAAATAAGATACAACTCTCTAATATGAAATACTACACTAGGAAAAAGCAAAATGACAAGTAACTATAGAGAGTTTTCATATTTACATCCGTGTGATTATGAATACCAATTTATTGATAATAAATTCATGTCCATGTGGCAACTAGTTGAGCAATCAAAAGTTACCAAGCAATTGCCAGCTAGTACAATTAACGGTTATCCTTTTTCCATAGCAGTTATCAACGAAGTACGAGGCAGAATTTGTACTTTTTAGACTCATACACTTCTCATATTCACAATGAAAAATACAAGAAGTTAACAAACTTTATCTCGCTATGGCACATTATTGTTGTTATATGATCTTACCCACTAGTTTCCAGCTAATACCATTAATGGTTATCCTTCTTACATAGCAGTTGTCAGTTAAGTACGAGGTGAAATTTCTACTTTTTCAGATTTATACAATTGTTCTCATATATTTAAAATGAAAAACTTAACAAGTCAACAAACTTTATCTCACATATAGCATTTGGCTTTACTCCATTATCATTGTCACACGATTCACTTCTCGCAACTTGTGAGCAGAAGTCTTTCACGTGAGTAGGGGCCACGACTTTCCGCGTGAGTTGAGAGAAGTCAGGCGTGTGTGAACGGATAAAAGCAGAGGCCCAAGGGGGCCACGACTTTCCGCGTGAGTTGAGAGAAGTCAGGCGTGTGTGAACGGATAAAAGCAGAGGCCCAAAAACTTTTGTGTTTTGTTTTTTTTTAACCGCATCACCTCCTATAAATACCTATGAATGTTAGGGTTTTCGGGTGTGGGGAAATTTCTTTTAGCCGGCTGCAGTCAAGCAACGGGAACAGCGGCTTTTGAAGAAAATTGCGGCTAAAGGACTGGGTCCTTTTTCGGCAGCAAGGGAAAAAGCAACAGGAGCAAGCAACGGGCAGAGGCTTTCTTTTGCGGCTGTGTGTGAGCAGTTGTTGAGAGAGAAAAAAAAGAGAGATCTTGAGGAGAGAGAAAATATGGTTTTACAAAAGAGAGGTTTATTTTTTTTTGGGTAAAAATCAGATCTATTTTTCCTTTGAGACGAGCTTGTGGATTGTACAAGTCGTCGGTGTTCTCCTTATAGTGGAATCTCCCCTCACCCCTCTCGTGGACGTAGGCAAGTTTGCCGAACCACGTAAATCTCGTGTATTTACTGTTTTCT